CTTTGTTACCTCATTATAACTACTTTACCTCCATGCCTGGTTTAATTACTTAATAAACAGAATTTCTTCATTCACTCAAATAGAATAATACTTTAGACGTTTGGCAATTTCTCAGAATTCAGCAATGTCTCCTTTGTGTTTTGCATCTTCCTTTTGGAGGATTTTACTAATGGGAGTTAACTGTGTCTAAACTGATCTTTGAATAATGATCTTTGAAATCTGATGACTTCTTTCCGTAAAGTGAGGCCAAGCTTTGTGTTACTAAAATGGTTATGTTAATAGAAAGTTCCAGGAAAATGTTAGACAAAATTTGTGGTGAAGACTAAACTGATGGGGTCCCTTTGGCTCCCAGTTTCAAATCTGAGATCACACTGTGCTGATCTCATGATGCTGCCTTCATTGACTGAGGATGGTGGGGCTCAAGTTCTTTATAGTCAATGCTTCATTCAATCTGATAGCAAGTCATTTCCTGTACTATTACCATGACAAATATTGCTGTCCTTTTTATCATGCAAACAAAAGATATAATGCACAGAAAACCTAGTTATATTTGTTTTCCACTTACTATTCTCTCACCTTCCTTGTTTACACTGCAAAGGATATTGCCGGATAAGTTGGTAATTTTTTTTCATCAGACTCATAGGGACATTTTTGGATCATCAGTTATCATGAGGACTTATGGGAAATGTTGCTGTGCGCTTCAGGGAGAAATCAGCGTCAGAGTCTGGCCCCCAGCTCTCTCCGTGTCCCTTGTAAGCGTGTCCCTAAATTTAAAAAGTGCCTGGCAGGAAGTAGGACCCAGGTTACGTTCCTGTAATGTTGATTTGTGTGTGTACCGTGCACTCTGCTAAGTGCTTTCACAGATTTACCACATTCAATTATCAATCAGTTTTTGTTTAACTGGATTCATGAAATGAATTCTATGAATTCTGTCCTGATAATATTGCCCGGATCTGGAGATCAGATTAAATTAATAAATCCTTACTAGCAAATGGAGAGGAGGGGAGGCATTTCTGCATTTTCCCAGTTAGGAGGCCTGCTGACCTGTAGTCTTCAGCCTCCTTCAGCGCCATCCTTGGTTCCTGGATGCTTGCCTCAATACCTACCCCCATCCCTGTGGTCTCTGCTCTAAGACTGGGTTAGAGAAGGAAGGAAGCCGAGGGAAGCTGAGAAGGGAAGGAAAGATGAGCCCTATTTTCAGTGCATCTTGCGCATATTATTTAGGAAGTAAAAACTTCGATTCCCTGTCTACAGTCCTGGCTTCTCTGGAAGGCTGCTAGTCAACCTAGTGAATGTGTGTGCGAGGCATTTTAGGCTGCCTGGCTGGGAGATGGGTCAGGATCCAGGATGTCCATGCAGCATCCTTTTTAGGATGGCAGCCTCCAGGCAAGTGGAAAGGCTCATCCAACTGCCTGGATGTTCCTGCGTGGGTCCTAACTGTCGCTAACTGGAGCCTCAGATGCTTAGATTCACCAGTGTGCCATTATTTCTGAACAACATCATTAATATGGTAGATACCTGGATTACTTTTAGACATAAGAATAGGGCTTTCTTGTCCTCAAGGGAGGTGCAGTGAATTTCTGTCCTTTGGAGGAGAAGGGCTATCACAATGTCATTGGAGTTACATACGATCAGCAAGGGCTTCTTACGTTACTCTCACTCTCAGTGATACCATCTAGTCTTGTCGCTTCACACACCAGCATCTTCCAAATGTCCCATCTGCACGCCAGGCCTTTTCTCGACTCACACAACCACTTTCATAGTTGACGTCCCCACCGGATGGCTCGTAGACTCAACTTTATCACATCCAAAATCAGACTCTTTTTAAGCTTCTCAGTTGCTTTAATTGCTTCCAGCTCATTGAAGTATAATCGACAAATACGATTGTAAGGTATTTAAAGTATACAGTTGATGATTTGATACATGTATGCTTGTGAAAGCAGCCCTCTCTCACCTCCATCCGGTTAATTAACACATCCATCACCACACATATTTACTTTTTTTTTTTTTCCCTTCGGTGAGAACATTTAAGTTCTACTCTCAGCGAATTTCAGCCTGAGACTGAACACTTGTCCATCTCCTCAAACTGGCTTCACCTGCATTCTTTCTCCCTCAGTTGATTTCAACTCTGTTTTCCAGTGGCTCAGGGAAAAAAACCTTGTAGTCATTTGTGAGGGGTCTCTTTTTCACACACCTGAATTCAGTGCATCAGACACTCCTGCTGTCTCTATTTTTAAAATATATCTAAAACTAGCCTCCTATCACCAACTCCCGAAATACCATGGTCTCAGCCCCTCCCCATCACCTTGTCCCGGATGATCGCTCTAACCTCCCTGTGTCTCTCTGCTTCTGTCGTGGCTTCCTGGAGTCTATTCTCAACAGAGAAGCCATGAACCAGTTTGTTGCCTTTCTTCTCCAGTGTTTCCCATTTCGTTCAGGACACGCAAAATCCTGACATAGCTTTCCAGTAACTACAACTATGTAACAAATCATCCGCGGGCCAAATCGCTCAGAGCCATTTATTGTGTGCACAAACTCTGTGAGTCAGGCATTTAGACCTAGAGCAGCAGAGATGTCCTGTCCCTGTTTCATGATGTCTGGGTCCCTCAGACTCTGTGGCTCAAATTATCTGGAAGCTTGTTCATTCACATGTCTGGCTGGAGGTTAAGACCTTCACCAGGGCTGTCAGCCAGAACACCAAGAATGGCCTCCTCATGTGGCCTGGGCTTCCTCACAACATGGTGGTTGGGTTCCCAGTAGGAAGAGCCAGGCAGAAGCTGGACCCTAGCTTCAGAAGTTAAAGAGCATCCTTCCTGCCATTCTCCATTGGTTGTAATGTCATAACCTGTTTGGATTCAAGAGGAGGGAGACAGATTTCCCTGCTTGACGGAGAGCGGCCAAGCTCTGGGCTAGTGTGCAGGACCAGGAATATGACTGTGGCCATTTTGGAAATACAATCTGCCACAGTGGCCCACATGACTGGAGCTGGGCTATTTCTCTGCCTTTCTTTTTCCCAGAACAAGTTCTTCTCCAGATTTTGCTGGAGGACTCAGGCATGCTCCTGCCCTAGAATCTTTAGACTGGTTGTTCCTTCTGCCTACTGTGCGCTTCCCAGTATGGCTGCTCCTGTGCCCCCCTCTGCCCTCTTCATGCTTTAACTCACATGTCACCTTCCCAGTGATGCCTGACCACTCTGCTGCCCCATTCTGATCCCTCTCTCTTGCTCTGTAGTACTTACTAGCTCCTAGTATTCTATGAAGCTTTTATCTTAACTCTTTATTACCTACCCCTACCAGAATTAAGCAGTACATAGGCAGGAATCGTTATTGCTTCAGTCCACTGGTTTACCCCAAGGGCTTAGAACAGTGTGTGGTACATGAGTATGTATAGGATGTGAAACAGAGCATTTCCGGTTGGGGGACATTCTGAATTTTTGCAGTACTTGCTCCAGAAGAACCAGTGAGCAGATTTCAGCTTCGTGGTGCCACAGCACCACAACTTATTCCCCATGCTAGCATAGTATCTGACACACAGTAGGTGCTGTAAGTAAATATTTAACTAATTTATTCAGAGAAGAAACTCAACACAGCTTATCTTGTAAATGAGACCGGCATAAATCAATAAGATAGGAGACTAACTTAAGTAGTTGCTTTCATTGTATACATTCTTTTTTTAAAAAATTTTTAACATGTTTCTTTATTATTGAGAGACACAGAGAGACAGAGCATGAGTGAGGGAGGGGCAGAGAGGGGGGAGACTCAGAATCTGAAGGAGACTCCAGGTTCTGAGCTGCCAGCACAGAGCCCAATGCAGGGCTTGAACTCACAAACCGTGAGATCATGACCTGAGCCAAAGTCGGACGCTTAACCGGCTGAGCAACCCAGGCACCCCATCATTGCGTACATTTCTGATTTTATCTTTCATTTTAATTGATGTATAAATATTTGGTTTCTTTTTGAGGAATTTCAAGGTATGTTTTCCGGTTCCAAATAGATGTTGATAAAAATAAGATGCCGAGAGCCTCTTAGGCAGAGACTCGGGGCAGAGAGTCATGCAATATGGCTTCTGCTTGCACATCCCCCAACTTTAGAGTGGCATGCATGAATTACCTTTGAGAAAGAATAAAGGGTGAAATAAAAATGATAATAAAGTCCACATTAGCAATAATAACAGTAATGGTAGGAATGACTGCAACATGAATAATGACAGCTGCCATCGGCTGGGGGCTTCTCTGCTGCCCAGAGAAGCTCTTCTTCTACCTGCTCTTCTGAGCACTTCATATTCACATCTCCATCACCGGTCACCTTGAGAGGAAGCCACGTCCATTCCCTAGAGGAGGACGCAGAGGCCATCAGGGCTGGCCCCAAGAGGTACCAAGTCTCTTTTTATTGGTTAAGTGCCTCTTTGACCCACCGAGGAAGAATAATCATCTCTTCCTTCAACATTGGTGGTTACGAGGCTCTGAATTTCTGAGGAGCCGCTGATCTCCCAGCTTTGGAAGTGGAGCCACTGATGTCAGCTACTGTCAGGATCACATTTCCATGCATTCCTCAGTTAAAGGGGCCGCAGTCCCAAGCTACTACTGGTGGGTTTTTTTTTTTTTTGGCTCATTCAGAGGACAGGAGTTGTTCCTCTCTCTGGTCTTTTTTTCATCCTCTACAACCAGGCTCTTGGCCACCAAGTGGGAAAGGGGGAGATACAGAGGACAGTGGCTTTCATGCCAGACACCGAATGAGCTGCCTTGCTAGATACCACGCATGACATGGTGACCTTGCTCGCTATCTCCATCCTTGCAGAGATGCTGGAGGTCTCAGAGCATTCCCAGACCCTCACCCCAGGCAGCCGCCTCAGTGGATTCGAGTGTTTTCCAGACCTAGGAGGTTATCATTACTCTCAGCCTGACGGCGATCCTTTGGCTTTTCTGGCTTTTGGTCGAGCATTTGTGGGTAGTGTTCAATCTCTGAGTACAACTGCATCAACTTCGGGTTTTTGTTTTGCAGAAATGAGTGTGAAGGAGAATACTCTGAAATACATGGAAACCCTGGAGGAAAAACTGCTTAGGTAAGGAGAAGAATTTCTGCGTTACAGACTCTGTGGTTCATCTGGATTCTTAATTATAATGGAATGTGGTAAGAGCAGAGAAAAAGGCTGGCCCATGTCTGTAATGAGTTGACAAAGAAAAAACACACAAATCCTGTAACACGATTGAATCAGGTGCCTTATATATAGACCTCTCCCAGCCCTTGTCTCCTCTTGATAAAAGATAAATAGATTAAGATGTTTAAAAGCATCTGGGGCAGATCACAAGTAAGTTTCCATGTTCCATAAGAAGAATCTTCTTTGCCGTGTTAAATTCCAAATTCATGCCTTGATCTTGTTTTCCTTTCCTTTTCTTTTCTTTTCGTTTTTTCTTTTCTTTTGTCTTCTTCTTTTCTTTTCTTTTCAATGTCTGAGGTGGGTCTTAGTATTTCGACCCAGCGGATGGATGTTTTGGAACAATATAAGAAATACACATCTGAGGCTCTGTTTTGAATCCTGAATCAAAACCAGCGTGGAAATTCGTGGTTGCTTTTTTTTTTTCTTAAACCCAATTAGGAATTCAGATTTGAGAAACATTACAGATGTTGCAGCGTGTCAAGATGTTTCTCATTTTTGTGGATGTGTGCTCATGAAAATAAATCCCAGCCACCAGGATCTGTTCCTAATTAGGAAAACAAGTATGAGGATGTAATGTGTACTTTCTTCCCTGGGAGTCACTTAGCTTTATGGAGGCTGTTTTGCTACTATTTTGGAAGTTGGTAAATAACTCGCTAAATAGGCTACGCCTTAAAAACTTTGTCGGCTGAAATAATGCCATTGGCAAAATACTTCTCCCTTAAGGGATACTAACAGGGGCTGCCTTGCTGAGTTCTGTCGTGCAGGGCAAGGAAGGTACTCTAGGATTTGTCCTAAAGCTTGCAAAACTAGTTCTTCCAACTACTGACTGTTATTTCCCTGCCTCCAGCACAGATGGGGAGAGGCCAGTGGTCAGTAGAGAGTGTGAGGTAAGGAGGGCATGCAGGTATGGGCATCCTCGAAGGAACTGTCTGCCCTCCTTAGAAAGGGTATTCATCTGGGTCAGGTGCACTGCTCTGAGTCCAGCCTCCCCTTCTCCCACCTTCCAAGGCAAGTTTCGCATATGTCTGGTTGATCTTATCCGGCCACCATATTTAGCCATAAGCACCACACATAGCAGACATTCCACTAGGTTATTGGGCAGCACGCTGGAATTGTAGGAGCTTGGCCACTGGCAGAGAGCCGCCCATTTACAATGCAGCTTTACAGGGGCACCTGGTGGCTCAGTTGGTTGAGTGTCCAACTTCGGCTCAGGTCATGCATGATCTCACTGTTGGTGAGTTCGAGCCCCAGGTTGGACTTTGTGCTGACAGCCTGGAGCCTGCTTGGGATTCTGTGTCTCCCTCTCTCTCCCTCTGCCCTTCCCCCTGCTTGTGCGTGCTCTCTCTTTCTCTTAAGAATAAATAAACATTTTTTTAAATTAAAAAAAAAAATAAAATGCAGCTCTACAGTTTATCCAATTCCTTAACGTCCATTCACAGGTCACCGCCAGCCTCTGTAGCTGTAAAGCTGAAGGAAGGGTACCTGTCCTCTGCAGTCAGCGTGTGGCTTTTACTCAACACCTGAGATAAAGCCTCACTTAGCTGGCAGTCAGCCATTAGTTCCCTTCTCCTGTGCTGCTCCTGACCTTCTCTCTCCTGGCCATCGGAACTGAGTCAACAGTCCCGCCCAGAACTCACCCTTTTCCCTCCCAGGCAGCATCCCTGCTGTGCATCGGGCCCAGAGAAAGGCCCATCCCCCACCTGCACCCGTCCTGAAACCTCAACCCGGCTGCCTGGGGCGCCCCACCGACTCAAGCCCACTGCCCGGGTCCTCACCTCTCCCTCAGAGTCACCCAGTCACCTGGGTCCTGCCAGGCGGGCCCCTTTTGTGTCCTCAAGCCCACCCCCCTTCCCCTCTGGTGTGGGTCTGCCTCCTCCCACTGCAGGGCCATAATAGCCACTTTTTGATTTTCCATTTTGTGTTGCCCTTCCCACTACATTCTCCAGGTGGTCTTGAGTGGGCATCTTAAAATACAAATTTGGTGGCTGTGCTTCCCTGTCATCTTATGGATAAAGCCTGAGGACAAAGTGTGGCTCCTCGCTCTCCCCAGCGGCCTCTGCATGTCCTACAGCAGCTGCATCCGTCTTTACCTGCCACCGTCGTGTTCATACTCATTCTCCTGTGTTTCTCAATGCCACTGTGCGTTTTTTCCAGTGGAGACACTAATTTAGACAGGGGGATGGTCAAGGGAGCTTATCCAGGGACATATTAGGTTCAGCCTGTGAAATTACTGCCATTAGATCACATTGACCTAAGGGGTCTCAATGCACCATGTAGGGATTTGAAGTCATCTTCAGGAGGGTCAGAAGCTCTGGTGTGAGACTGGCCAGTGTCCTCACCACGGCACGCTGGCACACTGGGCACACTTGCTCTCACCACCCACCCTTGCGTGAGTGCCAGTGGCTGCCCCCAGCTCCACCCCACCCCCCTCACCCGGTTTAGGCATGGACTCTGCCTCCAGCTCGGCCCCTGCTCTGCCCTGTCTCCTCCCCCAGCTGGGCCCCCCACCCCACCCCCTCCACCTCCCAGCTCCACCCCACTCTACCCCCACCCGCCCTTCATCTGTCTACATCTTTTCATCCTTCACATTTTGGGTGTCTCCTCTTTGAAGACTTCCATGACTCCCAAAGATCCCCCCAACATGTGCTTGCCCTGAACCCCACTTTCAAAGTGCTTAAGGATTTTGCAAATGTCTGCCTTGTTCAGAATGTGTCCTCTGTGATCGGACGGGGCTGAACAGTGTTAAGGGCACCCAACAAATACTTGGTGAGTTCATGGTTGAGTGAATACACCCCACGCCCATCTTCCATCATCTTCTGCCTCCCTGGCCATGTGGACACATGATTCACAAACGTTGGTCACGTAAGCTCCTTCAGCAGCCTCAGATGAGCAGAGTGGGAGCTGCTTCTTCCTACAGCCTGCTTCCCGAGGGCCCTTCCATTTGTTCTTATAAACTGTCAAGAGGCCCCGGGCAGATTTGTTTGGAGTCCCAGCAACCCAGGAATAGGAGGGAAAGCGGTAAGCTGCAGGCAGGGTAGCAGACAGAGGCGGGGTGAATCCCCAGGTTTGTGCAGGTGCCTCAGAGAAGAAGGCCAAACTGGGTGCTGTGGGAAGTGTGGTCACGTCAAGCTCTCCCTCCTGCAACAGAACCGTCCTCCCCACCGACCTGCAGAGTGATCCTGCACAGTTCCAGTTCTTTTCCCCGAGAACCAACGTCTTAAAACACAAAACCAGTTTTCAGTGTCTGGAGCGGTTTGTGTCTTGGTGGCTACTGAGTGAATACCCCAGGATGTTGACCAAAGCAAGGCGATAGATGCTGACCAAAGTCTTTGTTATTTATTCCCACCATCTGTAGTATCTCTTGGTCTTAACGGAATTTCAAAGGAAGGTGGCAAAAAACTGAATAGATTGCTCGTTTCCCATTAGAATGTATAGAAGTTATGGTCAGTGCAACAGCAAGATTTGGGTCTGGCCAGTGATGATTTGAGAGACAGATCTAAATGATACTATCTTTGTTACCATCTCAGCTTTCGCTGAGACAAAATGGGGTGGGCTCCACGTCCCCCTCTCTATTAAGAAAGCCAAGTGAATTAGGAAGTTATGAAGTATCCTATTTTGTCAGCAATTCAAAGGGATACCTGCATAGGACAAAACATGAAGCCAGCAAGTGTTAAATGGAGGCTTTGAGTATATATTGAAACAGAGATTTGCCTTTTAATAGACTGAGTTATATATATTTAAAAAAAAAGAAAATACATTCTAAATTTTAGTGCTTATAAACATTCAGAAAGGTGTTTTTTTTCCCAAATCTTGTTGTTTTAACCATGGTTGTATGTGCCCTCAAACTGTTTTCTTTTTATTAAAAAAAATTTTTTTTAATATTTACTTATTTTTGAGAGAGAGACAGAGTGCAAACAGGGGAGGGGTAGAGAGAGAGGGAGACACAGAATCCAAAGCAGGCTCCAGGCTCTGAGCTGTCAGCACAGAGCCCCATGTGGGGCTTGAACTCCTGAACTGTGAGTTCATCACCTGAGCCGAGGTCGGTCGCTCAATAGACTGAGCCACCCAGGTGCCTGTTTTAAACATTTTTTAAAGTTTATTTATTTTGAGAGACAAAGAGAGCAGAGGAGGGGCAGAGAGAGAAGGAGAGAGAGAGAATCCCAGGCAGGTTCCACGCTGACAGCACAGAGCCTGATGCAGGGCTCAAACTCACCAACCGTGATATCATGACCTGAGCAGAAACCAAGAGTCAGACGCCTAACCGACTGAGCCCCCCAGGTGCCCCATAATCAAACTGTTAAAGCTTAAAAAATTTAGGGGCGCCTGGGGGGCTCAGTTAAGCATCTGACTTTGGCTCAGGTCATGATATCGCAGTTCATGGGTTTGAGCCCCGCATCGGGCTCTGTGCTGACAGCTCAGAGACTGGAGCCTGATTCAGATTCCGTGTCTCTGTCTCTCTCTGCCCCTCCCCTTCTCACACTCTATTTCTCTCTCTCTCAAAAATAAATAAACATTGGGGTGCCTGGGTGGCTTAGTCGGTTAAACGTATGACTTTGGCTCAGGTCATGATCTCACAGTTTGTGGGTTCGAGCCTCGCGTCAGGCTCTGTGCTGACAGCTAGCTCAGAGTCTGGAGCCTGTTTCAGATTCTGTGTCTTCCTCTCTGATCCTCCCTTGCTCACACTGTTTCTTTCTCTCTCAGAAATAAATAAAACATTTTTAAAAAATAAAATAAACATTATTTTTAAAAAGCTGCAAAATATTTGATGCACTTAAAAGTATATTTCTTATGTTATTTTGCATACTCAGGATACTTATTCAGTCAAGCATAATTGTAACTAAATAGTGAACTCATGTATTTGTAAATTACACCTGTAGGCTCTATTTCACATAATGTACATGAGA